TCAAACATTATTGAGTTCTGAAGAACCACTCGCCCGCACCTCGGCTCGGGTGCTACAAAGTTATATTTTTGAAAGTGTTGCCGACTTTGACTGAGCATTGAAACACTAATAACCGTCCCGTGGTTTTGGACGACCCGTTCGTTCGTCCTGACGCGCATCCACGCGGCGTGACGACATCGTAGACGCAGGTGTCCTTCACTTTTAATTTTTGTATCTCTCATAAGGACGCGGTCTGGCCGTATTGTCTCCGTTCAATATATATGGGAGACAGGAGTCATTACTCAATAAGAAGAAGAAAAAGAAGAAGAAGAAGAAGCTCAAACGTTATTGACAGTGCTGACATACTGTATCGACCGTGTTGACCACTGTTGACTGCGATATACCTAATTCATTCTTTTTTTTTATTGCTGATTTAATCCAGATAGAGGATTTGATGCAATCAGAATCTAATAACTGTTTAACTCATTAATATCGCAAATAATACCCAGCAAATGAGAATGATGAGGATTGAAATGAATTGAAATGGATTCAGATTTTCAGAAATATTGATTCACGAATGTTAAAATGAATGCTTTTCAATCTTGAATGCATTTTTAGAAATTGTATGGAGCATATCTCTATGCCTTTCAATCTAAAAATAATATTAGCTTTTTCTGTGCATTGTGAATACTATTCAATTCAAAATTTTTAATAAAAAAGTGCAGTTTTTTAATCCAATTGCATCTAATTAGATTTAATTGAATCCAACTGAATCCAATTAAATCCAAAAAAGTATTCGCTACTTAAAATACATATTCGGATAGAAAAAAATTTTAAACCATTTTAATCCATTCTCGTTTGGTGGATACGTGAAAAATACGAACAACATATCGAATCTGTCGCTCAAATGTCAAATTTAACGATGCTCGTTCTTTTTCATGTATAAAATTTTTGCTCTAATAATTTTGCGACAAAAGTCATCACATCTTTTTTGTCGCTGAAATGATCAGTTTGAGCAACTCGTGAAAATGCATCTTAATGGTCCGTATTCAAAACGCACTTACAACGATGTTAGCATACTAACATACTATACTTTACATTATGCATATTATAGAATTTCAGAAATAAAAGCGCGTTCTGAATACGGTCCATTGGCGATAGCAATATTACTACATAAACAATCAATCAAATTTTGGCCTCTATGCACTTTCCTGCATATAATAACGTTGGCATATTGGAATATCAATTAAATTTTAGTCACAATTCATTCTCCTACTGCGCATTCTCAGTGCATACATACACCATGGTCAGTATTCGATATATCTAGTTTACATCGTGCACTTGATACACGTATTAATAACTAAAGCACTGTAATATGAGTATTCGCATTCGCCATTTTTAGTCCTTTTCTCACTCTCTTGCTCTTTTTCTCAATCCTTTGCTCTCTCTCTCTCCACTCTGCCGCTAAACTAAGAAGACTGAAGAGAGAACAAAGAGTGGAGAAGGAACTAAAAATGGCGCGTGCGAATACCTATGTATAGTGCTTTAGTACTAACTAGTAACTTTCTATTAAATTATTTTATGGTATTTTCGGCTCGACCGAGTTTGCATCAACTTGAGTTGATGTAATGATATTTTGTACTCTTCTATTGGTAGAGCGTGTAACGTAAACTAATACGAAGTATTTTCCAACCCAAGTTGGTGCAAATCCGGTCGGGCCAAAAAACATTTATTTTAGCGATGTATTCAAAGAATAATATACAAAATCGGTACAATATCGGCATCAAAATGATTAATCATTTATATATATATGTTTATACGTATCGCCGAAATTAGAATCATTCAATAGAAAGTTACTAGTTAGTACCCGTATCAAATGCACGATATAAATTAGGTCATAGTTAGTTCATATTTCAATACTTAGGCCAAAATCAGACTATATTAAAGAATAAGATTGAAGATTGAAGACTGAAGTTTGACCAATCAGAACATAAGGAGCAAACCTTCTTTGTTCTCATTGGTAAAATTTCAATCTTTAATCTTTAATCTCAATCTTCAATGCATAGTCTGATTCCGGCTTTAAGCACGTTGTAAGAATAATAGGTGATTCCACTCACTCATTTTTGCCCAGAAAAGCTGTGACAAAATTGAGAAAGTTTAGACATGTAACACTAGAGGGCATAATGGTCTGATACCTAAATGGCCTTTGCAATCTTTCCAATTCACAATCATTCAAGAAGCATTTCTTTTTATGATTAGAATCTACAGCATATATCCTCTTCCACAACTTTCACGATTTTTCTAATTATCTCATCAATCATGTGTAATAAATGTATTAATAAAAAATAAAATTGTTTATTTATAATAAATAATAAAAATGTTTATTATGTTGTCATTTATTTTAATCTTACTCCTATCTCTTGAAATGCCCCGGGAAAAAAATGTCTTAT